AATACAATATAATATTGTATTTATAAATAATATACATATATATATATATATATATATATATATATATATATATATATATATATATATATATATTTTATCAGAGGACGCAAGCTTGGGCCGCGGGCAATAGCCAATTTCGGCTTCCATTGGACCACCCATGTAGTTTAAATGTATATCCACCAATATACAAAAGTCTGTAGTAGCCTTTTTTTAATAATTTTAATAGACGCGAATAATCACACACACTTGTATGAGAGTGCACACACACACACACACACACACACACACACACACACACACACACACACACACACACACACACACACACACACACACACACACACACACACACACACACACACACAAGTCCATACCTAGTTAAACACAAGGCAAAGTTAGAGAAGATTCAGCGGTATGCCACCAGGCTCGTCCCGGAACTGAGAGGAATGAGCTACGAGGAAAGGCTAAAGGAGCTGAACCTCACATCCCTGGAAAACAGAAGAGTAAGGGGAGACATGATAACCACCTACAAAATTCTCAGGGGAATTGACAGGGTGGACAAAGACAAACTCTTCAGCACGGGTGGGACACGAACAAGGGGACACAGGTGGAAACTTAGTACCCAGATGAGCCACAGAGACGTTAGAAAGATTTTTTTCAGTGTCAGAGTAGTTAATAAATGGAATGCATTAGGCAGTGATGTGGTGGAGGCTGACTCCATACACAGTTTCAAATGTAGATATGATAGAGTCCAACAGGCTCAGGAATCTGTACACCAGTTGATTGACAGTTGAGAGGCGGGACCAAAGAGCCAAAGCTCAACCCCCGCAAGCACAAATAGGTGAGTACACATCTGTGCCTGTAGGGGGCCTCGCGACTGAGTGGATATCGCTCTGGTCTCGTAGTCCTAAACGGCCCGGATTCGATTCCAGGCAGAGGCAGAAACAGATGGGCAGAGTTTCTTTCCCCCTGGTGTTCTGTTCACCTAGCAGTAAATAGGTACCTGGTAGTTAGACAGCTGCTACGGGCTGCTTCCTGGGGATGTGTGTGTAAGAGAAATATATATATAGTAGACATAATAGAGGAAAAATAAATTGGATATAAAGACGGGGTCCAAGAGCTAATAACTCGAGCCTGCAGATACAAATAGTAAATTCACACACACTCGTTACCCAAATGAACCACAGAGACACTAGAAAGAAATTTTTCAGTGTCAGAATAGCAAACAAGTGGAATGTACTAACTATTGATGGTGGATGCAGACTCCAGACACAGTTTCAAATGTACGTGAGATATGGTGAACAGCTTCCTGAATCAAATAGGCTCAGGAACCTGTTCAACAGTTGATTGAGAGATGAGAGGCGGGACCACAGAGTCGAAGCTCAATCCCCGTAAGCGTAACTAGGTGAGCAAACATGAGAAATGATAATGCTGGAAAAGCAGTAACTTAAGAATAACTGAACCACATATTCTTGAACATTTAGAGAACTATAAGAACATGATCCCCAACATACAGGTGAACAATCACATGATCCCCAACATACAGGTGAACAATCACATGATCCCCAACATACACGTATACCAGGACATGATCCCAACATACAGGTATACCAGGACATGATCCCAACATACAGGTGTACAAGCACATGATCCCAACATACAAGTTTACAAGTGTACACTCCCCCAGGTATACGTGTAAACTGCTCTAGCGTTCACAGGTGAGTGCGAGGCATACATAGTATACATCTTCAGCGTATGTATACTGGGCATGAGGGAAATGGTTACAGCAAAGGTTCTGGAATCATTGTACCAGGATACAGCACAAGTTCAGGAGTCATTGTACCAGGATACAGCACAAGTGCAAGAGTCATTGTACCAGAATACAGCACAACAAGTGCAAGTCATTGTACCAGGATACAGCACAAGTGCAAGAGTCATTGTACCAGGATACAGCACAACAAGTTCAGGAGTCATTGTACCAGGATACAGCACAAGTGCAAGAGTCATTGTACCAGAATACAGCACAACAAGTGCAAGTCATTGTACCAGGATACAGCACAAGTGCAGGAGTCATTGTACCAGGATACAGCACAACAAGTTCAGGAGTCATTGTACCAGGATACAGCACAAGTGCAAGAGTCATTGTACCAGAATACAGCACAACAAGTGCAAGTCATTGTACCAGTGTAACAAACTAGGCTGTTGTAAGAATTATCCAGAGTGGTTTATCGACAAAAGAGGATGGGAAGCTGAGCCCGCATGGTGACCTGGGAACCTGACCCCCAGGGGAATTCGCGGTGGAAATAACCGACGCTTTGTTCATAGCTGCGTATAATGAATCATCCTATAGTATTCAGTAATTTAGAGAAAATTAGCCTTTATTCATTTTGCATTAAAATTGTATTGTATAATAGTACTGGATACAATATCAAGAGTATTCTAATTATTGAGTTTAAGTCACCATCAGTGACGTCACGAATCAAATCTAACTTGTAAGGCGGAGTGACCGGCGGTCATAGGTCAGCAGGGTTGACAGGTCTACTATTTCTTAAAGTTCAATTATCCATTTTTGGGGGATCGGGAACAGCTTTGCCGTTAGATGTTTGTGTAATTTAATTTCAGTAAAAGAATTCAACCAGTCTGGATCAATTCAGTACAAACAGAGGTTAATTGTTATAACTTAAACCTTGCTAGTAACTTGGTGAAACTTTGACTAGGCGGAAGGTTACAATGCTCTGTCTGGGGTAGACGAGACAAGGGAGAGATCAGTGTGGAAACAGGAGCAGCTGGGAGAGGTCAAACATCTTACCTCTCCCCAAGACCAGCCCAACATCTTTAGCTGGTAAAACATAGAGGTATAGTTGCTATTGTTATGTATAGAAATAGTCTCATTTGCCATTCAGGTCAAGTAGAGAGTGTTAAAGTGACAGGGAGTGAACATATTTAGATTTCGTTTTAGTTTTTTTTTCTTTTAATAAATTAAATTTGTTAATATTTTGCATTTTATTATTTCCATGTGTTTTATGTGTAAACTTGTCCTGGTCACGTGGTCCACACGAGGAAGAGTTGGATTGGGCGCCGATTCTAACATCGAATCATTCCCGTGTAATTAATTTCACACTCTTAAGTTTCCACGGTCATCGAGTGGGGATCAAGCCCCAAGGTGGATTAATTAGCGTGATCGATCCAGACCTCGATCATTGCTCTGTGTTGCTGGTCTGGTGGTGGCAGCGTAGAGGCGACTCTAGAGTTTCACTCAAAGCCTAGGTCACGTCATACTGGGTGTAGAATCCTAAGTCGGTCAATCGTCTTAGGACCACGTGGCGTGGAGTTGGCTTTGGTAAAAGTTTTGGAGTCCCTTGGTAGAGAATAAAAAACGTAAGAAGACGGGTAGAGGGCAAAGAAGAGAAGTAGAGAGAGAAAAACCCTAACCCGTGTTACACCAGGATACAGCACAAGTGCAAGAATCATTGTACCAGAACACAGCACAACAAGTACAAGAGTCATTATACTAGAACACAACACAACAAGTACAAGAGTCATTGTACCAGAACACAGCACAACAAGTACAAGAGTCATTGTACCAGAACACAGCACAACAAGTATGAGAGTCATTGTACCAGAACACAGCACAACAGAGTTAGAACTTTTAGTAAAAAAAATTATAATTAAAAATTCACTTTTTCGTAAGTAATGAAGCGTGGCGTGAGTAAGCCAGAGAGAGAGAGAGCAGTGTGGGTGATCATGGGACGGAAAGGCGGGCTAATTGGACGGTTGTCAGCTCGATAATTAGACGCCTGGTGTCCTCTCTTACAAACAAGTGCTCTAATATGTGACATAATAAGGGCTCTATCTTCCAGCCCCTTTGTATTGGCAGGTGTATTCTTGTGCACAAGAATACCCGAGAGTGTATTCTTGTCTCGGCTACAATAATACACTCTCCTGTATACTTGTAATCGTCTCTAGCGTCCACTTTAACAGTAACTCTTCAAAATATTGTGACGATAATCTCTTTCAAGAGAGATTGAGCCTGCTCTTCCCTTCAAAGTACGTAACAACAAAAGATAATATAGAAGATATATCCAGCAAGTATCTCTAAAACGTTTTGCCCAGAGAGCAAAACGTATCCAGCACACCGGCACACCTGCTACCCACCGCTACCGTAAACCGGCAAACTGCTTGTCCATTGCCTGCCTGTCGCTGATTGGCTGGTGTCCCGTCGCACCTGCCCTCCACCCTCCGCCACAAGTTGATGTCTGGGCTGCAGTGGCCCAGAGTAGTCAGAATATCCCAGTGCTCCTTGCAGTTGACATCTCTCATTGGTAGACTAAGCCTTGGCTTTCGTGTACTAAGGGAGGTGGCAGCTCGAAGCCAATATTCCGGCATTATTATTATTTATTTTGCTATTACCTCACTTGTCTTAACGTAACTTTTCATTTGCCAGTGATTATTCTGATTATTTTGTTTGTTGACTTGCCTCGTATATTTTATGCTTAATTTTATTCATGTCTTGTTTTTCTAACGTAATTAAAATTTCATTGTTAAATTTACTTGTGTTTTGTGTGTCTTCCCATTACCTTACCACAGACGAAAGTTCCAGCTTTTTCTTTTTTTTTCTTTAATGTGACGAGGCCCTGCCCCTAGCTTTTGAAACAGCCGAACACCAACGCTTTACCGTCACAATATATATATTATTTATTGGTCCTAACGTGTTTCACTGTCAAGGAGGACGGGTCCTGTCGAGACAGGACCCGTATATATATATATATATATATATATTTATTTATATTATATTATATAAGAGAAGACAATGGCACAATATCTAAAGGGTTTGATTAACCAGTAAATGCTATAAGCGCGTCAACGTCCGCCGTTTGAGTAAAGAATTTAGGGAAGAATTTTATCTGGCCATTGGCTGAGCGATAAACAAATTCCGTGTTGGATAAGACCGTCACTCACGTAGTTATATATGGCTTCCTCTCTCGTGTGGGACACCTGACCCCACACCTGCTGCTGGCGGGCTCACACGCCCTCGGCCCAGCATCATCTTCATCATCTTCATCATCTTCATCATCATCTACGTTATCAATATTATCTACAGCAGCTTCATCTTTATCAGTTTCATCGTCATCATTGTCATTATCATCAACAGCTTCATCATATTTAACATGTATAAAGGTAACCAACATAATCACCATTATCATCATATTCAGCATTTATCATCATTTTATATTCATCATATTTTTAATCTTTAAAGATAATGAGTCTCGCTGTATTTCAGCCCTGAGTCCTTATTAACGTTTTATTATTTTATTTGGCTAGTTATTGTTGAATATTTCATATTAGTAAGTAGCTTGTAAGTAGTTTGTAAGTAGCTTGTAAGTAGTTTGTGTACTTACCTGTCAGTAATTAAGGGGAAGGAAGGTGGAGGGGGGGGGGCTCTTTATCCCTCGAATATTAGCCTTGTTGAACCTGTTGTGTTACAGCTTAACTAATCTGACTGTTCCTTGTCTAATCCTTGTCCTTTTCTAATTCTAATCCTAATTCCTTGTCTAATCAATCCTCGAAGTTGTGGAGGATGGAGGTGGCTTCCACAGCTGCTTCTCTCGGAGCATTCCACTTGTTGACATCCCGTACAGGATGCTAGTATTTCCTGACATTCCTTTTCGGCTCACTTGCGTTTCCAGCATTCACTTGTGTCCTTTTGTCCTACCTTCTCTTCTCCCAATTTAAAGAGCCTATTTCTGTCCGCATAGAGTATTCCAACCAGTATATTCTATGTTGTGATCATGTCTTCTCTGTTTCTTCTGTCCAGGGTTATGAGGTCCAGTTCCCTTAACTTATCCTCATAGCTTAACCCTCTTACCTCTGGGACCAATCTAGTTGCAAACCTCTGCACTTTCCAATTTTAGTTTTATGCTTCACAAGTTGTGGATTCCAGGCCGGTGCTGCATATTCCAGTATTGGTCTATCAGAAGCTGTGTAGATTACCGTAGAGTCCTGATTTAGATTTCTAAACGACGTTCTAATGTTCGCCAGCGTCCCATATGCCGCTGATGTCACTCTACCCATGTGTGCCTCTGGTCTTAATGTTGGAATCCTGACCCCTTCCAAGTGCTATATAGTCATAAAGGCTTGGCGTTTTCCCCTGATAATTCCCTCCCTCCCAAATCTCGTTCTTTCTCCAATTCCTGAAGTTGTTTTACATTTATGGTGTAGGCACCTACACCATATATGGTGTCTTTTCTCCCTTCCCCATCCTCATTATCTTACACTTATTTGAACTGAACTCCAGCAGCCATTTGTTTGGCCACTTCTAGAGTTCGTCAAAGTCGTTCTGTAACATTTTGAAGTCCTCCGTTTTTTACATTATGTTTGTGTCGTCTGCATCAACACGTACGAGCTCGCCCCCCCCCCCCCCCTCGGGTAGATCATTAGCATACACTAGGAACAGTAGTGGTGCCAGGACCGAGCCTCGGGGGACCCTGCTTGTGACAGTCCTCCAGCTGGAAACCTCCAGCTGACTGTGACTCTTGGCACTCTGTCCTTCAGGCTACTCACCTAGCCCAGCTGGCATCTCCATCTTGCGCACCAGTCTTTCGTGAGGAACAGTATCAAATGCTTTTTGATAGTCTAGGAAAACGCAATCTACCCAGCCATCCCTTTCCTGTTATATTTTAGTAAGCTTGTCATGGAACTCGATCAAGTTTGTCAGTAACGACTTCGTCTTTCTAAAACCATGTTGACGATTTGTTGCAAAGTTAATCCTCTACCGGTGCTCCACTATCCTCGACCAGATTACTTTTTCCAGCACTTTTATGGAATACTTGTCAGTGACACAAGTCTATAATTTAGTGGCCCCTGTCTCTCCCCTTCTTGAATACTGGGACCACGTTTGCCTGCTTCCACAATTCTGGGAGATTCACCCATGTTGAGTGTTGAAAACATCACTTAGTGGGTAACACAGCGTCTCTGCAGCCTCCTTCAGTAGCCATGGTGATATTAAGTCTGGCCCAAATGCCTTTGCTCCAACGTGTTCCTTCAGGTGTTTCTTAAAGTTTTCCTCTGTGATTATTATGCCACAGTGGTCTAATCCTCCCCATTTGGAACATACCAAGTCTACAGTAATGCACAGTTTCCCTGCTTACCTCAGTAGCTTGCAATCTGGTGAAAATTGCTGCAATATCTTTCTGGTCCCCTTCCTGTCTCCCTTGCCCTGTCTCTCCCTCTGGCTCTGGCAGAGTGAAAATTACCACTGACGTCTCCCTCTCCCGCTCCTGTCTCACACATGTCACCACCTGTTGACTTTTTACAGCATCTATTACTGTTGCTTTAATGATCTGCTCTCCCTCTAACCCTTGAGCTACTTGAAGCTACTTCAGAAAATGTTTTGTCTGGTCTTGTTCCCCATTTAACAGTCACATTCTCTACATTCTTTATTCTCTCTTCTATTACCCCTTCTTGCCTCCTCTGCTGGTCTTCAATCATGCCTCTTCCAATGATTTTAATTTATTCTCAAGCCTGTGCACATATTCCTCTCTTTCATGGTTTGTTTCCCTTAATTATTCCTCCAGCTTCGAGGCAACTACTCCAAGTTCCTCACTCCTGTCAAGTTTGTAGGTTTTAAATGACCTTCTCTAGTTCCATCTTCTCCTTCTCCCATTCAGGAATGTGTGTAGATGCCTTCCTAGTAAAGCTGCCTCGGGCTCTTCCCCTCCTATCACTTTCTCCCATTTTCTTTGCTCTCTTCCTCCAGATCTCTTGTTAGTGATTCTATATTTTCCTTGATGGTATTGTCATTATTAAGCTGCTCCTCCTTCATTGTTCCTCCTCCCAGCTCCTACTCTTGTGTGCTCACCTAGTTGTGCTCGCTCTTGCTCGTGCTTGCTCTTTCTGCTCTTGCTCGTAACTCATGCCTCTTCGTTCTGGACCATTTCTATGTTTGTGTGCATGTTGGGTGTGTGTTGGGTGAGTGTTGTGTGTGTGTGTGTGTGTGTGTGTGTGTGTGTGTGTGTGTGTGTGTGTGTGTGTGTGTGTGTGTGTGTGTGTGTGTGTGTGTGTGTGTGTACTCACCTAGTTGTACTCACCTAGTTGTGCTTGCGGGGGTTGAGCTCTGGCTCTTTGGTCCCGCCTCTCAACTGTCAATCAACAGGTGTACAGGTTCCTGAGCCTATTGGGCTCTATCATATCTACACTTGAAACTGTGTATGGAGTCAGCCTCCACCACATCACTTCCTAATGCATTCCATTTGTCAACCACTCTGACACTAAAAAAGTTCTTTCTAATATCTCTGTGGCTCATTTGGGCACTCAGTTTCCACCTGTGTCCCCTAGTGCGTGTGCCCCTTGTGTTAAACAGCCTGTCTTTATCAACCCTGTCAATTCCCTTGAGGAACTTGAATGTGGTGATCATGTCCCCCCTAACTCTTCTGTCTTCCAACGAAGTGAGGTTTAATTCCCGTAGTCTCTCCTCGTAGCTCATACCTCTCAGCTCGGGTACTAGTCTGGTGGCAAACCTTTGAACCTTTTCCATTTTAGTCTTATGCTTGACTACATATGGACTCCATGCTGGTGCCGCATACTCCAGGATTGGTCTGACATATGTGGTATATAATGTTCTGAAAGATTCCTTACACAAGTTTCTAAAGGCCGTTCTTATGTTAACCAACCTGGCATATGCTGCTGCTGTTATCCTCTTGATGTGAGCATCAGGGGACAGGTCTGGCGTGATATCAACCCCCAGGTCTTTCTCTCTCTCGGACTCTTGAAGTATTTCATCTCCCAAGTGATACCTTGTATCTGGTCTCCTGCTTCCTACCCCTATCTTCATTACATTACATTTGCTTGGATTAAACTCTAACAGCCATTTGTTCGACCATTCCTGCAGCTTGTCCAGGTCTTCTTGAAGCCTCAAGCTGTCCTCCTCTGTCTTAATCCTTCTCATAATTTTGTGTGTGTGTGTGTGTGTGTGTGTGTGTGTGTACTCACCTAGTTGTACTCACCTAGTTGTGTTTGCGGGGGTTGAGCTCTGGCTCTTTGGTCCCGCCTCTCAACCGTCAATCAACAGGTGTACAGATTCCTGAGCCTATCGGGCTCTGTCATATCTACACTTGAAACTGTGTATGGAGTCAGCCTCCACCACATCACTGCCTAATGCATTCCATTTGTCAACCACTCTGACACTAAAAAAGTTCTTTCTAATATCTCTGTGGCTCATTTGGGCACTCAGTTTCCACCTATGTCCCCTAGTGCGTGTTCCCCTTGTGTTAAATAGACTGTCTTTATCTACCCTATCAATTCACCTAGTTGTACTTACAGGGGTCGAGCTTTGCTCTTTCTGCCCGCCTCTCAACTGTCAATCAACTGTTTACTAACTACTATTCTATTTTCTTTTTTTCCTCCACGCCACACACACACCCCCCAGGAAGCAGCCCGTGACAGCTGACTAACTCCCAGGTACCTATTTACTGCTAGGTAACAGGGGCATTCAGGGTGAAAGAAACTTTGCCCATTTGTTTCTGCCTGGTGCGGGAATGGAACCCGCGCCACAGAATTACTAGTCCTGCGCGCTATCCACCAGGCTACCAGGCCCCTGAGTGTATGTGTATGTGTGTGTACTTACCTATTAGTAACCACGGACAAGTGAGGTTACCCCGCCTATAGTCTTTGCTCTTTATCTTCAAGTCAAGTCAAGAGGCAGTCGAGTTAGTTGGCTGTTGCATAGGCAATACTAAAGCCAATGTTGTCTGTTGTGCTGATGCTCTAGTTTTCTTGAGGTTATCTTGAGATGATTTCGGGGCTTTTTTTTAGTGTTCCCGCGGCCCGGTCCTCGACCAGGCCTCCACCCCCAGGAAGCAGCCCGTGACAGCTGACTAACACCCAGGTACCTATTTTACTGCTATAGAGACCTAAAAATCAGAACACTTGTCATTATGAGTTAATCTGGTCAATCTTTGATACCTCGTCGAAAGTAAGATTGTTTGAGAGTCAATATCTAAGCTTGAATGAATGGGAATTATTGGGACCTTCAAAATGAAGAAATGTAAGATGACTCTTGGGAGTCCATCTCCAACCTGGCCTGATCTCGGCAACCAATACCTGATGAAACTGTTCACAAACGTTTGATATCCTATTGGCCGAAGGAAATCTCCATCCAGCAAACTCAATCAGCTCTTTTTGTGTGTCTTTTTAGGCACTCACTTATGACCGGCCACACCAACTTCAGCAGAAATATCAAGAGGTAACGAGGACAGAATAAGAGGAGTCAGCAGGGAGAGCCTCCAGCTGAGGATTTGTAATCATGAAGGAACTACTGCCACAAAGAGATGGCTTACTGACGTACATTTTGAGTCCTAATGAAATCAGATCCATGTTGCATGAGCTCTGTGTTTCGGGTGATTTTGATCCGGAATATAACCCCAGAATTTGTTGAGGTACAATGTTGAGGGCGTGTGCAGCTTTCTATTACTTCATAGTATGATTAGTTTATATTCTCATTCAGTTTGTCTTCTCACCATCCTTATTTTGTGATACATAATGTGCAAATATCTGCCTTACAGATATTTGAAGATTTTATTGTGAGGTCTAGTTCCTTTAACCTGTCCTTAGAGCTCAGTCCTCTTAACTCTGACGCCAATCTTGTTGCAAACCTCTGTACTTTTCAGTTTTTGTTTTATATTTCTCAAATTGTAGATTCCAGGTCGGTGCTGCATATTCTATTATTGGTTTAACAAAGACTGCGTAGATGACCCTGAAAAAGCCCTATGTATAGATTTCTGAACGATGTTCTAATGTTTGCCAGTGTCCTATATGGTGGGTGTGTTACCCACCTTATGTGAGCTTGTGGTGCTGCTTAAATAATAATATCATCCACGCTCAAATCTTTCCCTGTTTCCGATACCTCCTGGTCTTCTTTCTACCCCTTTCCATCTGCATTACCTTACACTTAATGGGACTGAAGTCTAGCAACCATTTGGTTGCCCACTTGAGTTTGTCAAAGTCTTCCTGTAGCTTTCTGCAGTCCTTCTCTGTTCTTTACATTCCTCATTAGTTTTGAGACGTCGACAAACATTGACATGTACGAGCTCACTCCCTTGGGTACGTCGTTCACATTAATTAGTAACAGTAGTGGTCCCTGGACCGAGCTTTAGGGAACGGGGTCCATCTAATTACCCAAAGCCACCCAAAGCCTATTAGCATTACGTAAGTAATGAATAAATGTGACATATTTACTCACAATAGTGTTGGTGCTAAACGTAGAACATGCAACAAAATATTTTTACTTTGAAATAATATTTTTTAATAACGAAATCGGACGAAACTAGGTGGCAGGTGACGCCACAGGAAGTCGACGATCCGAGTGACAATGGTGTGTGTGGCTTTGGGTAATTAGATGGACCGAAGTAACCCCTACTTGTTACACTCTTCCAGCTGAAAGCCTCCTCCCTGACGATGTCTGTTTTCTGTCCTTCAGGTACTCCATTACTCAGGTTCCCTGTGAGTGGGTAAGGGCTTAGGTGTGAACAGGCCAGGGGTTCATTTGTGGTTAAGTCAGAGCACAAGTGAATGTAAACCAAGGCTCAGGTGTGGGTAAACCAGAACTCAGGTGTGGTGTAAGCCAGGGACTCAGGGGTGGGTAAGCCAGGGACTCAGGGGTGGGTAAGCCAGGGACTCAGGGGTGGGTAAGCCAGAGACTCAGGGGTGGGTAACCAGGACTCGGGGTGGGTAAACCAGGACTCAGGGGAGGGTAAGCCAGGGACTCAGGGGTGGGTAAACCAGGACTCAGGTGTGGGTGGGACGGGATTCAGGCGTTGGCGGCGGTCGCGCCCGATGTAAACACACCAGGGAACCGCCGCCATCTTTACGCTGTCTCACCTGCCGGCGCCCCTTCCCTCTCCACACCCCCCCCCCCCCTCTCCCACCCTCCATTTCTCTTCCCCCATCTCCATCCCTTCCTAATTTTTCCTGCCCTTTCACTCACAGTAATTTTTATCCCCAGGTCTTCTACCATTTTTTTTCTCCTTCCCATACTCTATGCACCGTTTTCTCTTCCCATTTCATCTGTTTTTAATGCATTCACTCCTGCCCTTCCCTTCCTTCCCTCATCTCCCCATGATGTCCACCCCCCATGCCCATCTACGTCATACCTTTCCCATCCCCTCCACCCTCCGGGGGCGGCCCACACCTCACCCCCTCCAAAATCCTTTATGTAGCGAAGAGTTTCATTGTGTTCTTTAGCGCTGAGCCGGTTGTGGAAAGAACAACTGTTGTGTTTGAGAGAGAGAGAGAGAGAGAGAGAGAGAGAGAGAGAGAGAGAGAGAGAGAGAGAGAGAGAGAGAGAGAGAGAGAGAGAGAGAGATTGAAGGAGAGTGTGTGATATACTAGGATATGTGTGATATCCTCATCCCGTTCAACTCAACTTATACACATGTTTTACATAGATCATTATATACAAATTTGCCATAAAAACTAGCATTCACAATTATATATATTTTCATTTCCACATGCACCTATAAAGTTATTAAATAATAACCCAAAAAGACACTGCTATTAAAATACGCACATAAATGAACATAGAAATAAATACAACTTTAAAGTCTCACATTTCCATACACGTCACTCAAGAGGGATGTATGGGTTGCCATACACGTCACTCAAGAGGTGTGTGTATGGTTGTCATACACGTCACTCAAGAGGCACTCAGGCATCTAGATGATGAGAGTGGGAGGCCGTCACTCACTCCACACATCCTTCATGTTCACTACCACCTGTAGTGAGATGTGCCAGTGCCAGTGAGGTGTGTCTGTCGTGCAGCAGGCGTGC